GTAGAAAGGAAAACATTTAGCTTACCTAAAGAGATGATTGGCATTGAAATACAGTTTGTGGTACACTGACATTGTTCATTGTTTTGTTTTATTTTACTGGCCTTTATCTTATGCAAAACGTTTAAAACATATGCCTCAAGCAAAAGAAAAAAAAATTGGACTTGATTCTTGATGACTTTATATGTTATGTTCATACAGCTTTCTTGACAACAAAAGATCTTTCTTGTTGCCTACAAGCTTTAAACTATCAAATTCAAGGTATATTTGATTGTATATATACAAGCAACTTGCTGGGTTAAATTCCCAAAAGGATCTGTCTCCTAATGGTAAATTTAAGTAAATGGAATTGGTATAACTTATAACTAGAGTTCAACAAAATTATTTAAACAAAATACAATAGTTACATTTGTAGATTCAGGATTCAATGAGTGATTTATCTAACAATTTTAAAACTTCCTGATTATCAGAAATTGCTTTAAAAAGTCTCTCAATTTCCAAAGTGAACTTTTGATATAGTTAACTGCTTATTACTTTTATTTTTTTCAAAATTTTTCTCCCATAGCTTCTGCTTAGCCCACCAGATAAAACACAAAAGGCATGCATTGGGTTCCCTCCATTCAACAGGGTCATCTTGTTGGATCCACGAGTTGTACTTTAATTGTGGCAGCACATGCCTTGTAGAATAGTATCTCTCCAGAAATCCAGACAGACTCAACCATGTTAGCCTTTCATAAGACTTTGAAGACCAGATGTTTGGTCTTCAAATTGGGTTTTTGCGTTTTAACCTTGGACATCATGAGTTAATATGGAGGCAATAGTTGTTCTAATCAGTGGTGGGATTCAAATATGTGAACAATTGGTTCTCTGTGTAGATGCTTCCAGAAGTCCATTCTGGGCCCTGGCAACAAAAAATTAGCTACTGGTTCTGCTGAACTGGTGCAAACTGGTTGAATCCCACCACTGGTTTTAATCAATGAACACTACCAGAGCCACTGTTGTGAGACAGATGGCCATGTAAACTATTTAATTAAAAGAATACAAATCCTGGCTTCCAGAACCACTATTATATTTGACTTCAGTTTATTTTCAGTTGAAGTGAAACTATATAAATGGCTTACACAGATAGCAAAGATAATGTAATAAGACTGTATTGATATTATTTTTATAGGTATAAAACATACCACTATTCTAAACTTCCACAAACAATCAATCATATATCTTCTATTGCACTGAAATACTGTCTAACAATATAATGTGCAATTACTGTCACTTCAAAAGGAGTAGGTTAAAAAGTTTTATTATACATATATTAGTTTTATATACTACTAACTGACACAAAAAACTAATTAATGTTCCCTTTTGTTTATGAAGATTTATTAAAAATTAAAGGAATTTGTCTTAAGTAACTTAGTAAAGTGCTAAGAATAACTAAATAAGTTTTCACAATATGTTGAAACTAATATTCTACTGGAAAATGAATATGCAAACAATATATAAGTAGCAAGAGTCGACTCTCTACTTGAATAAAATGTCATAACTAGCATGTAGTCAAATAATAACAATTCAAAAGGTTTTAAATTTGTAAATATTGAAGTTAAATGGAAAATGATTATTGTATTTGGACCCCACTATTAGTCGTGGTCTTATCTTGAGGGCCCATTTTGTCCCTCATGCGGGGCTGACCGGGCGGGGGGGAGAAAGAATTGCTGTTACTTACTATTTCATTAAAAATTATGAAATGTAATTTTTGAAGTACAGAAATATCAAACTCTGACTAATACAGCTTGATTGGTTCAATAGGCCATGATTAAGATACATAAAGGTTTAGTATTACGGTATAAACTTGCATAATTTAAAATGTGTGCGAAAGTATCTGATCTTGTCACTGATGTCCTGGAGCACAAAATTTAAAAAAAAAAGATTATATCCAGCTATATCCAGAAAAATAAATACAAATATATGGTTAATATCCAGATTTATCATTAAATCACAATTTCATACAAAACAATGAGATTAAACAATACTTTAAAAGAACATGTCATAAGAAAATTTGAAGCATCAAAATAAGCTATTGTGAATATACTTTTAAGCTTAGTAGTATTTTAATAATGTGCAAAAGTTTCATTCAGCTAATACCCAGGTATTGAAAGGTATCCCTGGTAAGTGATCAAATATTCACGGAGTAACTTCTGTTGTTAAACAAAGCAGTACTGTTGATAACTATCTGCTATCCAAAGCAACCAATACTTATATTTATAAATATAACTTTATGTATTGTTCCCAAGATATAGTCAGAATCCATGAAAATGTCCGTGCCTTTAGTGTACAATATAAAATATTATGCAGAGCTTATTATTACTAATAAACAGAGTATATCAGTAAATTATATTATATTATGCTGGACATCAAATTTCAAATCATACCTATTTGTCCTTGGCATTATAAGCAGGTTTATACAATGATATTTGTATTAATTCATAATAAAAGAATTAATGAAAATGTAAACATGTATTATGAAAATATGTAGATTTCAGATGTTATTGTATAAAATTTTCAATTTGTCACAGGTTTGCAATGTGAGTTTGGGAAATCAGTTAAGATTTCAATGCAGAAAGAAGATGAATATATTCCACATTGTAGATTATTTAAACAAAACTTAAATGGAGGTAAAATTGATTATGAAACAATTGCATTACAAAATATCAAGAGAAGATACATGTTTAACAGTTTCTTTGCAGTGGAATCACTTTTCAAAGGAGACTAAAAGCATACAGTATTACATCAAGAAAATAAATTGTTTTAGCTATTCTTGATTTTAAAACTGTACCTGCTTTGTTTAGCAATGGTTTTTAAAGAATAACTCTTCCATTTATTTCTTTAAGCAGCAATTGAAAATATTTACTACTAGGCAGTACCTAATTTTAGGTTTTAAGTGCTTTAACAGCTCTATGAAATATGATCAGCAGCTGCTATATAAAAGTATGCGGAATAAACTTCTCTTGTAAAAAAAAAAAAAAAAAAGCCCTCTAAGCAGTTTGGATATCTTCATTTTTAAAGGTTACACCAAGAACTTTATCAAAAGTCCAATAAATACAATTATGTCCCAGGTGATATTACCTGAAAATCAGAAGATAATTATCTAATAAACATTCACTTTAATATGTAGGTTTCCCCCTCTTCTGTAAAATAAGCACATAAGTAGATTTTGTCCACAATAACTTGCAAAATAATTTGGTTCTGCCATCTTCAAATGAATTGTATAAAATAATTTACCTAAGGGGGGGAAGACTATTACGTATAGTTATGTTTATGTACATCTCTCATTTCCATCAGTAGTATTAATAATACTGTGATGCTTTAATATTCACTTTTAAAAATTCTTTGATATCAGAACTCTCCTATTTCTGTCTTTAAAAATAGAGCATAAGTCTATTATTGTATTAATAACATTATATAATTATAGATTGTATAAATAATGAGTAAAACTGATTACAAGATGAGCTAGAATTTTATCAATCAATTCTTTCTTACCATCAAAACAGGTTCCTACTACACAAAAATTCAAAATTATTATGTCTCATTAGAAAAAAAAATTATTGATTTAGTGCTAGTATTTATTTATTCATTCATTTAATTAATTTCAATAATATACCTCACTATAAAAATACTTCACTAACAATAACTTTGTTATAAGCACATAGTTTTTTATTTTACAATAAGGATACCTTAAAAACCACTGCCAGAAACAAAACAGAATATTGGTAATTGATGGGATACTGCTTAATAAAAAAATCTTAAACTAAACAAAATGCCAAGCTTTTTAAAACACATACTGGATGAAATTAAGAATTAAGCTCATTCTAACCGTGCAGATATAAAAACAAGAATATATCAGTTTTATGTCATGCTTTACTAACAATAATTTTCTGTCAGGTGGATAAAATCTCCAATTAATAATTGTCTTTGGAAAGTAAAAACTTTGTAGACCAATGTCACTGCATAATGAAATAGTTGCAAGTAGAACAGCAACATACAATAATGGTAGTAACAGACAAGATAGCTTGGCTATATTAAATTTATCATTATTTACTGCAACATTTTCACAGAAAGCTAAATTTGAGATGGTCCAGAATATACTATTTGGTCATAAAGCCACAAATCAATTAATGACCAAAGCCCATTGGCTGAACATAAAGTAACTATTACTTCAAGGACGACCAGCCACAAAAAACGTCTTCCACGTGGTAGTATTTTAAGATCAAAACATAAGTCATTGATTGTATAATACTGTATTCACTGCACCTCACTCACCTGATCTACAAAGTCAATTCCTCTGTTCCTCAGAATAAGTGTAAGAAGGGAATGAGTTCACTGTGTTTTCTAGCTGTAAGCTTAAATGTACTCATATTTCGGTTTATTAAAAAAATGTATACACAAGCAATGCAGGTGGAGCAACTTACACTCCATTTTTTATTTCCTATGTTACACGAACTCTAAAAACAAACTTTCCTCATTAAGACCTGCATGCCTTATAAACGTAAACTAACTTCTCCAGGAAAAAGAAATGAAAGACTTTGAAAAGTTCCAGGTTTTCAATGCAGCAAAGTAATGCACGGTTTAGCTTCAACATTTATAATCCAAGTTAGGGGAGAAAGAAAAACGGACTGTTTTCCAAAAAGCTGGCACAGAGTTTCTCCAACTGAAAATACAAGTAATTTACACACACACACACACACACACACACACACACACACAAAACCCACCATCGTCCGCCAGAGTTTGGGAGATTTTTTTTCACAATTTTTCCCGTCCCCCACCCCACCGACGATTCCCTGCTGAAACGCCACTCCGTCCCAGCTTGAAGCAAGTCAGCCGAGCCCAGGAAAGAAACACAACGCTAGAAAAACAAGCGACCTTTTGCAACAGAACACGAAAACCGAAGAGGAACAACCCAGGGTATCCAAAGCGGGTCGTCTGATTTTTTTTTTTTTTTTCCTTACCGGTATGTCACGTTTGTTACTCTAGCGACCCAAGCGACGGAGGCAAGAAACCCGAGATGGCACTGTAAGAGGCGACCGAACTGGGAATTCTCGCGAAAAAAGAGCCAGGCGAATTTTTTTCTCAAATGATGCGTTTCGTTCCGAAGGCCTTACTCTCCGAGGCGATTATCCCGGTCCTCTGAAAAAGGCACCAGGGCGGCAACCGAGCGCCCCTCCACCTCACGGCGGCTCTCCTCCCCCCCCCGCCCCCAAAACAGAGCCGTCCTCTCAAGAAAACTTCGCGTGTTGTTGTTGTTTTTTTCCCCTCGCGACCCAAACACACGCGCGCCCTCTCCGCCCGGTCCCGTGACGCGAAGGGCGAAACGGACTTGGGAGCCGCCGCTCGCCGGGCACCTAAAGAAGGAGGCTCTCGGTTCTGAGCTGAGGCGTCGCTTGTCAGCAGCTTTTCTATTGCCGGTCGCCAACCTTTCCCGCGCGGTGGTTCTCTTAAAAGGGAAGTACGGTTAAGCCAAGGGATCCAGGGACGCGTTTCCCTACCAGTTTTCGTCGCCACAAAAGAAAGAGGGTTGGGGAAGCTGGAGAGGGAAGAAAGAGAAACGAAGGGAAAGGTAAGGAGAATTATTGTACCCACCTTTTTTTTATTTTTGTCTTTTTTTTTGTTCCCCTGCCAGGACTCCTTCGCTTGATTCTTACCCAAGTTGCTGCTCCTGCTGCTCCCTTCTGTGTTATTGATTCTCTGCCCGGTTCCAAGACGAAGGTTCCTGCCTTGAACAACTCTAGTTTTTTTTAAAGAGGAGGCACATCCCTCTCCGAGTTATACCCGTCTTTCTTCACGCAACCAATTTACAACGGGGAAATAGAAATGTTACTCAACCGCGCAGCCGATTATAAAACTTCAACAAAAAAATAAAGAAAGAAAGAAAAAGAAAATCCTTCACTTCCTCGTTTTGCCCCTCGCGCTTTTCACCCCCCCCTTTAAACAAAACAAAAATCCCTCCTCTTTGTAAGGCAGTCTCGAGTTCAGATTAAACACCCAGAAATATTTCTTCTGAAGGGAGGGGGGGAGTTGGGTTTTTTTAAAAAAAAAAGTAAAAAAGCTCGCGCCACGTTGCCTAATTTTTGCGAGATGCCCCCCCCAACCCGGGTGTTTTTTTTGTTGTTGTTTTTGCACTTGTGCGGCGACTTGTTGCGAGTTCAGGAGCAGCGCTCCGAAGCAGCGGAAGGTCGACGCGTGCGTGTCTAGTGCGAGGTGAGGGAGGGAGGAACGGTGTTTACTGCTGACAGCCGCTCCTTGTCATTGGCTGCTTTCTCGCGGGAGTATTGGTCGATCGCGGGGCGCTGGAGGGAATCGGCACGTGGATACTGGCCCCTCGCGCTGCAACGCCGCCGGTCCCTGGCTGGCGGGACTGCGCTGCGTCGCCTTGTTTCCCGGGTCCCCGCGTGGTGTTTCTCAACGTCCGATGCGCTCCCTCTTTTGGAGCCTTCCTATCCTGAGGGGGTAGTAAAAAGAATCAATTAATCAACTTGCGCTACGTGCTTGCCCAGTAGTAAGCAAGCGCTAATCCCTTCCACTCGTAGGATATAAGGCAAGGCCTCCTTAAATTCCCCCTGCTTCTGGCCTTCCTCCGGAGCAAAGTAAGAGAAGTCACTGAGGCTTGTTCTTAAATAAGTTGTTAACTACAGGGCCACTAGCCAATTTCTGTTAGGCCACATCAAGCCTGTTCAGTGTCCGGATGCTTGCAAGCTGCTCACTTCATTTTGGAAAAGTAATCACTGCCCACCTCTGGAAGACGATAGTTCTGCCCAGATGCACTTCAGTTAGCTTGCTTTTCTTCAGCTTGAAAGCATGGGACCAGATAGCAGTCTGGGCATGTGGTTTCCCGTCTATCCCATATGGATTTCAGAGTGAGCCAACAACTGAGTTGGATGTAAACATTCAATTAAAGCCAAGAAGGCAAATTGTGTGTGTGTGTGTGTGTGTGTGTGTGTGTGTGTGTGTGTGTGTGTGTAGAAGCCTATTAGTGCCTATCAGCTACTGCAAACACAAATGAAATGTCAAGTGGTGCTTTCAGTGATTGCCAAATGCCAGAGGACAAATAAGGATGAGTGGTTGACATTACCTATCTTGCGAAGGTCTCAGAAACAACTGGTTAGGTAGTCCATGGAAATAATATGCAGGAGACTTCATCTAATGTACGCATAGGCACTAAGGCAGTGGTGGCAAACCTATGGTACGGGTGCCAGAGGCGGCACTCAGAGCCCTCTCTGTGGGTACTCGCGCCATCGCTCCAGTCCTAGACCTTCAGGTGGGTTTTATAAAACCTTTTTGCTTTAGGCCTTCGCTGCCGTGTGCAAAAAAAAAAAAAAAAAAAAAAAGGTTCAATCAATCAATTTCAACTTCTTGCAGAGAAAAAAAAAGATCTTGCAAAGTTGGAATTGATTGAACTTTTTAGTCCCACCCAGTGTGCCGTTACTACCGCAGCCATGCCCACCCAATGGGTCACACCCACCCAATAGGCCACCCACCCAATGGGCCACACCGACCCAGCACCCGACGATGCATAAGTGGGTTTTGGGTTGCAATTTGGGCACTCGGTCTCTAAAACCGCACTAAGGTGTGGTCTTTGGAATACATTCAGCTGTTCCTGAAGTCACATTCCCCTAAAATTGATTGTACTGTTAACATTTCACTTCAGAGGGTATATATAATGGGTCTTCAAACTTGGCCCTTTTATGACTTGTGGACTTCAATTCCCAGAATTCCTCAGCCAACGTGCTTGGGAGTTGAAGTCCACAAGTCATAAAAGGGCCAAGTTTGAAGACCCCTGGTATATATTAAGGTAAAGCCAATAATTTCTTATTATATAATACTAAAGATTGATATGATTGGTAGCATTGACATAAAGCAGAGGTCTTCAAACTTGGCCCTTTTATGACTTGTGGACTTCAACTCCCAGAATTCCTTAGCCAGGCACGCTGGCTGAGGAATTCTGGGAGTTGAAGTCCACAAGTCATAAAAGGGCCAAGTTTGAAGACCCCTAACATAAAGGATCCGCCGGGTACTGAAATTATGTAAATCAGTCAATAATAACATCTCATATCTTTTAATCCCGTCTTTTTGCTTACTGACTTGCATAAGATTGGAACCTTTCATTTCCCTTTCTTTGATGGAAAACTTGGATTTCTAGTAAATAAATAAAATACATTCCTATTCCTTGCAGAAAATAAGTGGATTGTTAACAAACCTAGCAACCAAAATGTCTTAGGATAACTCTAAAATAGTTAACTATTGTCCTTTATGTTTTAGCTGCTGCTACTTTAAAAAAGAGTCAGCTTGGTGTAGGGCAGGGGTCTTCAAACTTGGCCCTTTTAGAGACTGGGAAATGGTGAGTTATAGTCCTACCTTAGGCATAAATAATAGGCAACTTCTGAAATCTTGCCAAGAAACTTCAGGGACTTGTTTAGGCAGTTGCCAAGAGTCAACACTGATTAGAAGGAACAAACAAAGCAACAAATAAATTATTAATCTTGAATTTATTGGTAGATGTTTCTTTGTGTCTAGTAAATAAAATGTGTAGTAAATCTCTACTTTTATTTGTTGAAAATATCTTTTCTTCCCCTTTTAAAAATTTATTTTAAAAATTACATCTTTAAGCCAGCATTTTCCAGATTGTGTGTGATCTCAGGTAAGACAGAAAGATTATTGGGAAATGAATAAGTTTATCTATCACCACTGTTTTACTTTAAGTCCATGGCTTGTTAGTGCAGTAGTTTGTTTAGGTTTGCAACATTTTTCAGAAGGGAAGCTGTATTTATCTTACAGCTAAAAACAAAAAGATAAGGAGGAAGAGGAGGAGACATTAAATTTGTTCCATGGACTATAGTTTCAATTGCTTTTTTCCCCCTACCTGAGCACCATGTTACTGAACCTGGGTTTGCAGCTCCTCCATAAGAATGACTAAAGCAGGGGTCTTCAAACTTGACACACTGGCTGAGGAATTCTGGGAGTTGAAGTCCATGAGTCATAAAAGGGCCAAGTTTGAAGACCCCTGGACTAAAGTATGAATTAGCCTCAAGTATCCTTCTCAGCTGGATGGAAGGAAATAATGCAACAAACATGAGAAGGAATTCTCAATTTGTAGTTGTTACAGAATGAATTGGGAATCCCTAAAAACACAAGCTTTTTGCTTTCCATGTTTCTTGTCTCTTTGACCACAGACATGCTCAGATCTCATGTGATACCACAACCCTCAATGTCTTTTGATGAAATTCTTATTCCTGCCCAGGTTCTTTGTTTATTTGTTCTGCCCAGCCAGGGCTTGGTTTCATCTCAAAGCAATTTCATCAAACTGTGTTAGTCCGTACACTGAGAATCTCACCTGAGTTTCAGAGGCTCAAATGCCAACAAAGTAAAATAGAATAGGCTGTTTTTATTTCTGTTTCAGCTGTCAGATAACATGAGGAAAGGTAGCTAAGTATTAGATTTCTTACAAAGCAGCCTTCACTTCTGATGACTTTCATGTACAACAATAATGGCAACAATAATGTTACTTACCATTCCTTGCTTCCAGTTTTGTTTTTAATCTCATAGTCTATCAACCGTCCTGGGATTGCCTGAAAATTGCTCATTCAAGCACTACGTTGGTCTGACCCTGCTTATCTTTTTGAGATAGATCAAAGTTGGCTTGACCCATCTCAAATACCAGCAGCTATAGATGAAGATACGCACCTTATTCAACAATTCATCATAAATTGTTTCTATGGAGTTTATATACTACCTTTTCCCAACTTTAGGAATTACATACTGTAAATTTTTCAGCTATGCCTCTTTTATTAAAGCTTAGTTTAAAAATTGAATATATAACTTTGTACAATACTATAAATACCTAAGCAGCCTTAAAATCAGCCTTAATCATAAATTCTAAGTGGTTTAGACTTCTAAATAAATTGCTTTCTGTGAACCGAGTGAATTTTACTAAATGTATCGTTTATTTATTTGACATATGCTTATTTGCTACACCCAGATTGGCTGCCATTACTTTTCTCCATTGTCTTACAGCACTTAAGCATGCATTTTGAATAGAACTTCTAATGTGTGATGCAATTTTTCTTTATGAAGCATCATTAGTTTCCGTAAGTTCAATACAGACAGAAGTTGAGTTAAGCAGGATCATTTGTGCTATTTAGCAGTACCAAACATAATAATAGTCGGATATACAGTAAAGAAAAGTAATTCTTTATCATTAATATTTTAAAAAATGATTGTGCCTTTTTTAATTGTTAATATTGCTTGGAATTTTTTTTACCACAATATTTACTTGGCAAGTGAAAGTAACTTCTCTATCTGAAGTACCTTATAACACTGTCTTGTATTGTTTACAAAGCCCTATTGAGCTTAATGGGATTTAATAGCAGGTAAATGGGGTATAGGATGGTAGTTTTAATTAACATAATTAACTGATTAATTTTATATTTTAATTAAATCTCTTTAAATGAAGATGATACAGTTGATTTTTGAACAAAGGAGAATTGTAGAACTGATTTTTTAAAATACTCATTGTAATTTTCCATAATTTCACACATGTTGTATTAAATAATTCCAGGTGTCCTTGTGCTATTAATTTACATCTGCTTATTAGGATGTTAATTCTGTTATTGTTATACTAAGAGTACTTATGGGAAATTTGATCTGCCACCTTAACCGAGAAATAATGTTTTAATCAAAGATGCTGGTGGAGCCAGAAACAGGCTTTTCCGGTGATTGCCCTAGCTCTTGGTTTTTTTGATTGAAGAAGTGGTAGGTTGTCCTATTCCAGAAAACTCTAGACAACGTTTTCAAAAACCTTGCTACCTTATATCCAAGATGATTCTAGCCTCCCTCTTGGTAAAGGCATTTTGGACCATCTTCAGAGGACTATCCAGCCTATCAGAGAACAATCCAGCCTCTGAAGACCTCCAATGAAGTGGTAGAACAATTTCTAGCCAACCTATTTCATTGACTGACAGCTCTTATCATTGGGAAATTTCTCATAATATTTAAAATGAATCTTCTTTGTAGGTTCAACCCACTGGTTGCCCTCCAAAGCAATAGGAAGCAAGTCCATTCCCTCTTCTGAAAACTGGACATATCAATTTTACCTCTCTCTCTCTCTCTCTCTCTCTCTCTCTCTCTCTCTCTCTCTCTCTTTTTTTTTATTTTAAAAAAAGGGTACTCACAGAATTTCATTTCCATTATTGTCATCCTCTGAACTTGATTCAGTTTGTTGGTGTCACTAGATTGCAATGCTCAAAACTGTATAATGTACAACATTCCAAGTGAGAGAATAAAACAGTTACCTGATTTTGTCTCCATTCTTTTTTGTCATTTTAGCAACTGCATCATGTTGCTGGCTCAAGTAATGAACTCTCAGACTATCTGGATCCACTTCACATGTATTACTGCTAAACTAGGTTCCCTTCCCCAACCCCAAATCCTACAGTATTAGCTTTCATCTTTTTCTTATCATTTTATCCTGAGTGTTGCAACCTACTATTCCACTGCATGTATCTTTCTCTTTCAAAGTGTTAGCCATTCTTCCTAGTGTTGTCTCCTTTACAAATGAGATAACCATCTCTCAACCCGTTTTATTATTAATAAAAATATTGACTAATACAATATTGTTTATTATTAACAAAAGTATTGACTAACACACTGAACAGAATCCTCTGGTACTCCATGTGATACTATATTCCAGTCTGAGGTTGAACTGTTTACAAATGTACTGAATGTAGCAGGCCAGCCAGTAATGATTCCAATAAATTTTTAGTTAGCAGTTAATAGTCTGTCATGATGCCTCATTAATAAAATGATAAAATATTGGATGAATGAATATGTTTAATATGTTTCCTATTGACTTTCAAATTCTATAACTGTTTTTATATGCCAAAGAATTTTAAACTCCTCCTCCTCCTTCACGTTTAATTAGTACATTAAAAAGTGCCTGTCAATATAAGTTTATATGGTATATATCAGTGGTGGGATTCAGCCAGTTCGCACCACTTCGGCAGAACCGGTACCCAGGCCCAGAACGGACTTCCGGAAGCGGCATCCACACAGAGAACCGATTGTTCATATATTTGAATCCCCACCACTGGTATATATGTGCTCTGGTTTACTTTTTGTGCCATATAAATTAGGAATCTCTCATGCAAAGCCCATTCAGTTTCTATGTTTCTAAAAACATACCTTTTTAAACTTTACAAATAAGCACTTTTAAATTACATCCACGCTCAGAAGCAACAGCAATAGCACTTAGCCTTATATATCGCTCCACAGTGCTTTACAGCCCTCTGTAAGCGGTTTACAGAGTCAGCATATTGCACCCAACAATCTGGGCCCTCAGAAGGATGGAAGGCTGAGCCAGCTTTGAGGTGGTGAAGATCGAACTCCTGGCAGTGAGCTGAATTAGCCTGCAATACTGCACTCTTATGTTATTGGTAAAGCATATGGGTATATATGGGTATACCATGAGGTATCCTTAGTCAAGAAGCTAACTTCTTTTTCATTTCCTAGCAATTAGGACTTTAAAATTGGAGGAGTATACGGGGTACTGCTTGTCATTCAACTATTCATTTGGATGACTAAAAACCTCTCAATAACTAAAAGCTCCCATAGGTCTGATTCCAAAGCATTACTTGTCAATTGGGAAGAGTTTCAATGCCACAATTACTAATAATTGGAAATGGAACAGCAGGAAGAAAAATAAAGTAGCTCTTTAGAGACCCAAATTGAGACAAGGGGTATCCTCTTGAGAGACTGTAAGTGAATGTTAAATGTGGCACAGCTGCAGTCTTAACTTTCAGACTGAACATCAAGAACTGACTGGCTTTCTTTTTCTTTTTTCCTTTCTTTTCTTTTCTTTTCTTTTTTTTTGATAAATATCAAATGCTGCAGAACAATTCAAAGAGAGCCATAGAGGGGCATAAACTGTACTTGAAAAATGCAGAAGAAAATGTGTATTTTATTTTCATGATTCCAGGCAAAGCATTAATGTAAAATTAAAATTCTGTTTGGTACACACAATGATTCAGTGAGTTACACTTTTCTTTCAGAAATACTTTTCAGTTTAAATATTCAATAGTATTGAGAGAAAAAAATAACTTAAAGGTAAAGGCTATAAGATCGTGTGGAAATCAATAAAGTAGTCAGTAGTCAACACAAACTGCACGATAGATTTAGGTAGCATTGCATTTCATTTGCCTCTAAGGATTTAGGTTTGTATATTTATCTAGTGTTATTTACAATCTTTTAAACAGGAATATCAAAATGCTTTACTTAATTTTCTCATTCCAGTTTGTCCCAGTGAATGTTTTGCTTTTCTTCCTGCTAGCTGGCTTCCATCATTAGGCAGCAAGTTCCGAATGCAGTGGTGCTGGAGATAAAAACATGATTCACTACAGAATAAAAAATGATTTAATTCACTAATTTGTCCTGAGTGTTATACTTACTTAATATGCCCAATATATTTAAATTGATTTGTTTCCATCTTATTATGATTATGCTAGCTTGAAACTCAGTTTTAGATCATTGCCAAATCGACCTATCAACTAGGGCTAAAATCCAATCAAATACATCTCATAGTACAATATTTGTGCATGTATACTTAAAGGCAGAGCAATCCCAAGAGACAAGAGTATCAAATAATGTTTTCCCCCACATATTTCTATACATTTCATGATGCTACTTTGTCAGCAGCCTCAAAGGAAGATTCAGTTAGCACAAAATATATAGGACATACCTGAACTGGCCACAAATTAGTATTTCAGTTCCAATGGCAAGTATTATAATAGTACATCTGCAGACAGACTTGATACTATATACATTTTTGTTGACCAGCAGAAGGAAACAGTCCAAGAGTGCTGTTATTGATTGCTAAATTGAGTTGTCTGAAGCAATTAATTGAATCAACCTAATAACAGAACTGGTCTTTCCTAAAAGCAAGTGCCATTAAATTCATTGAAACCTTCTCCCAGGGAAGTGGATATAGATTTAGGAAATTCATCACTTAATCAAATTATTACGTTTAATTAAATTATGTTAAACAATTTTAATAATTTTAAATAATTCTTTATTTATTTTTAATATTTTCTGTAAGGATAGCTTTGATCCTCCTCACTGGACCTGGGTGTCTACAAATTATTATTATTATTATTTTAAATTTTTATTTTTTATTTTCAATTTTGCATTACATTCATAAAAAAAAACATCAGATAAAGCGTAAAATAAATTTATACACATAACTTTTGGTATTGCTCACCCATTTCCCCCCAAACCGCATCCATCCTCTAACCTCTTCTCTCACTTCCCTCTTTCCCTCTTCTTCCTCACTCTCCCCCTCTCCTCCTTCTCCTCAACCTTCCTACTTACTTCTCCCCTTCCTCCTATCTTCTCACTCCAGATGCAGTCCAGGGGAAATGCATCAATATTATATACAATAAAACTATTTCTACTTATCTGAGCTATTTAACCTTCAACCCATCCTCCCCCCTCCCCCCGCCCCCTCCCCTCCCCGACTTCCCAGAGCCAAGTACATAGTTATACAAACATATTAAACATAATCTATTTAAGTTTACTAATTATACAATACCCAAAATCATACTAACCCTTAACTCTCTTCAAACTTTAACATCATAAGTTTATAAACAAATCCATTACTCATAAAATAAATGAAACTTTGTAGTTCCATATTTCTTCTGAACATATTCTATCCATCTTCTCCATACAATAACATCTCTCTTGTGAATGGTCCTTTAAATAAGCAGAAATTTTAGCCATTTCTGCTAAATTAGAAACCTTAAATACCCATTCTTCTAAAGAAGGCAGAGAGTCCTTCTTCCAATATTGACCCACCAATAATCTTGCTGCTGTTATTAAATTCAACATTAAGATAGTTTCTTTAGCATCAAAATCCACAAAAATACCCAAAAGAAATAACTGGGGAGTAAACTTAATCTTCCTTTTAAAAACCTTTTGAATGTTCCACCAAATCATAATCCAAAAGATTTTAATATTTTTACAAGTCCACCAAACATGAAAATAGGTTGCATCCAAGCAACCACATCTCCAACATTTAGGTTGCAGGTTCGGGTACATACAAGACAATTTTTTAGGATCCAGATGCCATCTGTAAAACATTTTATAAAAAATTTCCCTCAAATTTTGAGCCTGCGTAAATTTAACATTTCTAATCCAAATTACCTCCCATAAATCCAATGAAATAGGCTCCTGAATATTCTGGGCCCAAGTGTCTACAAATTATTGTCTTGGCTGAAGAAAATATTTGCTTTTATGACTCCATAGAACTATAGAAAAGTTGGTTTAATTTTTCTTGAGATGACCGCATGACACTTTCAGCCTCAATGGATATCTTTACTCTGACAAGGATAACAGAGATGGCTTTAAACCAAGTATTTAGAGGTAAAATATAACCAAAGATATTCAACCTAGCATTTCGTTTCAGAGAGATCATTTCCTCTTGGCACCAAGCACTTGCTTTTATCGCTCCCCAAAAATGTTGTCTAACCACTGTATACAAACTGAAATATGGATTATGGATTTCAGGAGATGATTTGGTTTGGGGTTTTGCTTTTGTTTTGGTTTCAAAAAGATGTTTTTCTTTTAAACAAGAAGCATTTGTACATTCATAGATTTACCACATACACGCACAAATGAGTAAACACTTTAGGAGGAAAAGTGAAATGTTGAAACAGTAGACAAGAAGTTTGTATCTCACACTCTGGGAAACAAATGGTTATTTTGTGCATCCATTTTTCAGTTTCAGTTTGTCAATGAAATTCAATCACTGGTTTAAAGAAGGGATATATGCGTGTGCAGGCAAATGCCTGCTCATTGGACTATAAACTGCCAAAAAGCTCTTTACTGAAGATCAGTTTAATGTGTTACTATAATAAAACATGTCTTAGTAAGGTTGCTAGAAACTGCCAAGCATTTTTGCCAAGGATTTTTTATTTTATCACAAACTTATTAGTTCTGAATGCAAGCCATTACTGATCTACCTATTGGCAGGGAAAAATAAATGATTTCATATGCTATGTTTCTGAGTATGTACAGATTTTTCTGTATGCTTATTTAAGGTTGACAATATGCCATTTAGCATATAACTTTATATAAACAAGTGATACTTTGTATCAGATGCATAATTTTATGAAAACGATGCTTTCTCCTATATATAAGAAAGCTAATCTATTTGAAAAAACTACAGTCATGCAGAAAAATATTATTGGAGATATTGCCTAATAGATTAAACCAAAGCATTGCTTCC